CAACTTGAATAAGCTCGAACATCTCCCAAACTCCAGTTATGGGTCTTCAAAGGTAGCATCCTGAAACAGCTTCCAGCCTTAGCCAAATCTGGGTAGTTTCCAGGATTCCTCTTAGCATCTTGTGGGACTTGAAAAACATCCTTCCTGGCATCTCCTCGAGCTCCATGACATAGAAATGAAGAGATAAAGTTTTGAACTTCACATTGAGCCCTTGAACTTACATTTTTATCGAATGGTTTGAGAGATACGAGCCCCCAAAGTAGGCACCTCGAACTTGACCCAACACTTAACCCTTTTCCTTTCCTCTTCTTCCAAACTCCACTTCCTTCTTCCTAAAGTAATTCCATCTTCATGATTGATCCAGTTGGGATCATATCACATCAGTGCGTCAAAGGACATCTAATGTTGTTGGTAGGAAACTAGGAGGAAGAGAGCAAAGAAATGGCGGCGGAGGAAGCGCAAGCGAAGAAGAACGAGAAGAAAGAAGGCCAACCTTGAGTGCAAGATTGGTCTCAAGAGGGATGAAATATCAGAAACATATTATTTTGGACTCATTTGTTTATTTATTATTCGGGATATCTGGATGTTATGTGGGTTAGGTTGGGAACTCTTGGGGTTTATTTGGTCAGATTATTTATTCGGATAGTTATAGGGAATTAGTCGGATTATATATTATCTGTTAGTGGAGAATTAGAGGACAAGAAATAACATAAGTATTATTCCCAAAAACTATCTCTCTCTCACCTAGCCGAATTTCTCCCTTTCCCAACCCTACTGTCGTCGGCCTCCCCTCTCCGGGAGCCTACTTTTGCTTCTTCCTCAACCCAATTCCCTTTTCTATCTCATCAAATCCCTAATTCTCTTCTCAACTCTTAATCCATCATGAACTTTCCTTCAATCCGTGAACCCAAAATCTCACACCTAGATCCGTGTTTTTTCATACTGGATCGGTTAGAACATCATATTGCGAAAGTAAGTGGTTTATTTTGTTATAGTTTATAGTGTTCGTGTGTGTTTTTTGTTGTAATGTTTTTGTTTCATAATCGTTCCAGCATCAGAGAATGTGATTGGATTTAAAAATAGGTACATGACCTTCAATCCAAAGAAGAGACCTCGGACAATAATTGAGTTAGCGAGGGAGAAGACTGGACAGTAGAAGGAAAAGGTGAAGAAGATGATTGACACGCCAAAACACAACACCAATCTGCGACCAAGTGTAATCGCAGACCGGGAATGCAGTAACAGGCAAGTTATATTATCAACCCGGGCTCTAGATCTACTGCTTACTCAGTGATTCTCTGTTATCTAGCCAACTAGAGTAAGTGATTGTTGTTTAAACTAAAAGCAGAAATAAAGCAGGAAATTATTCGGTTTTCTTAAGCAGGAAAGAGTCACTCGGGAATGAATCCCCCTAGCTCCTTTGTTAGGTCTCAATTGCAATTTACCCTGGGTTGATTTACTGTTGATTAGACTGCGGAAGATCCGGCAGTAGCTTGGAATCTCTTAAGCTGACCAAGCCCTCTCAGTCTAACTACCCGGCAGACGACTAGTCTTCACCGGGATAGAAAGCTGAAGCAGTAAGAACAGAAATTCACTACTGGAATTAGATTCCAGTACAAAGCAGTAAACTGGCTAACTCTCGTATAACCAGTCTCCTACTATCGAATGATGAGACTCTAGCAACCTAATCAGATTCTATCTATCTCAGATTGCAGCAGGAATCAGGAAAAGTTGATCAGACTTCAATTGACTCAATAAACATGCATCATTCGATTATAATCAAACAATATAGCATCCCAAGTCATTACAATCAATCCCCTAATATATAGAACTAGGGTTCTTCATCCCCAAGTGAGAGAGAGGTTCTACTCCATAGAGAGAGAAAAGAAAACAGTAATCGGAGTAGTCATACTCATAATGATGAGGAAAATCTGCTCCGGGATGATGATTTCCACTCCTAGGACGATCTCCAAGCTTGATTTGATGAAACCCAGCTCCAAGATGGCTTCTAGGGTGAGTTCTTCGCACTTTCTCTCTCTAGGGCTCTGTTTTTGCTCAAGAAAATCGATCTCCCCTTCCTTGGCTCGATTCTGGCCTCAAAAACCCGACTCTGGGCGAATTACGGGCTGAATTACGGCCGTAATCACGTCCTGCCCGTAATTCGCCCCAAAACGCACGTTTCAATTAAGCTGAAGGAGGAGAAGATACGCCCGTAATTTCACAATTACCGCCAGTAATTTGGGAATTACGGTCGTAATTCTTGGGAGTCTTACCCGTAATTTTATCACCGAGAGGAAATTCTGGGGAAAAGGCTCGGCAATTGTTTTACGGGCATGCCCTGACCAATTACGGTCGTAATTTGGCAGGGGCTGCCCGTAATTCGTTCTGTGATTCGCCATCTGACCTCCGAATGACCTGAAACTTGCGCCTATGCACCTCTGTACTTGCTAGGACCTGAAATATGGCAAAACAACACAACCTAGCGTAAAATAGGCCAAGCAACAATCAATTCGAGCCAAAATGGACAAGAAATCCGAGTGAAAACACGTGCAAATACGATGCTATCAATGATGAAAGCAAGTGAAGCCGTCAGAGTTTGAAGTTTGGATTGATGTTTTTGTTGATAATATCATAATTGTAAGATATCCATTATACGATGACTATATGATGCTCATATGTCATAAAAATAAGGCTTAATATAGTGAGAATAGTGTGATAAGATGATGATATGACAAATAAAAAGTATTATCATTGTGATAATATTTTGATATGATGATTCTAAAGAATAGTCTATGAATTTTTTTGACAGTTGAAACTCATAACTTACTTCTATCAAGTTCATATCAGTCCATATCTATTAGTATCATGTTCATATTAGTGTAGTATGAAGATCATATCGGTTCATATGAAGATCATATCAGTTCGTATCCAGTTCTTATCAAGTTCATATGAAGATCATATAAGTTCATATAAGTCTGTATCCAGTTCTTATCATGATCATATCAGTTCACATCAAGATCGTATCAGTCCATATCAGGATAATATCAGTCCATCTCATGATCATATCATATCATTTCAAATCAAGATCATATTAGTTCATATCAGTTCGTATCATGTTCATTTCAAGATCGTATCAAGTACCTATCAGTTCATACATAGACCATATCCTAGTGGAATGATGATGATATGACGATGATCATATCATATTTCATTGGTATGATGGAATAGATTTGAAAAATTTCCCCTATTGAAAATCAAATAAGATATTACAGACTAGTTTATTAAATCACAATTACATTGTCCAGTTGTTCAAAATCAAATAAAATATTAACTTGTAACCATAATATTCAAAGTACTGACCAAATGAAACCAAATATAAAATTGTCTAACATACACTGGGATACATTCTAATTTTCTTGTGATACCATCTTCTCATAGTACAATTTTGTTGCAATGTTGAAGATCCTTTCAAGCTCCAGATTATCTTTATTGGCTACGATGTCTACGATAAACTTGTCTCTTGCTGAATTGATGTAGTCAATATCCTCCCATTGAGTTCTCATGTATGTCTCATACTTACCTTCCCATTTCTCACACCACTTGATTACAAATATTCACATGACTTGTTATCAGGATGTGTAACATTCTTCAAGTTGTGTTCACTGAATTCTTCAAAGTCAACATTTTTTTTAGGGTAAATACAATATATTAGCCACAACTATTATGAAGTGGGGAATTATAGCCATAACTATGGAAATTCAAATTATTAGCCAAACGTTAACTATTTGTTAACAATTTCGTTAGTAATATTGACTAAACTTTTATGTTTCAAAGTTATAAATTAAAAGCAGTCCGACGTGGCTGTTGCCGTGGCCGATGATGTAACCTTCTAAGTTAAAAATTCAATAAAAGTAATGGACAGTTAGCCATATCTTGACCCGCAACAATAGATATGGCTAATAATTTGAATTTTTATAGTTGTGGCTATAATTCCCCGCTTCATAATAGTTGTGGATAATATATTGTATTTACCCTTTTTTTTATTATGGCATGTATCTGGTGACATACTTGATGAAATTCATCACTCCTTTGTAGTAGGACTTGAATGGTGCTTCTTTCAAGCGAAGGCTGTCTAGGTGGTGGATTTTCTTCCGTGATACGTCGAGGCATGTCAACACAAAGTGATCTTTATCGCATAAGGGCAAGAACCACTATAGCATATAGGGTAACATGTTATACTGAAAGTATTTGTTATGGTATAATGATGGTATGGGATGTTTTCTTTTGTTTACTAGGTTGTAGTTGGAGAAATTATTATGTTTCGCTCAGTCTCTTTCATCAATGTAATCCATTGTCTTGTTGTAATAATGCTCATCATCCTTAGCTTTCAGTTCTTCATGCAGCAACATGTTCTTCACCCTGTGTAATGTATAGAGAACTATAGTTGATGAGGAAATATGTAAATAGATTAATCAATATTGTAGACTAAATGCCCCTTTCATCAATATAATCCAATGTTTTATTGTAATAGTGCTCATCATCCTTGGCTTTTAGTTCTTCATGCACAACAACATGTTCTTCCCTCTATGTAATGAAAAGAGAACTATAGTTAGTGAGGAAATGTGTAAATGGTTTAATCAAATATTGTAGACTAAATGTCTTACTACAAATGACTCATAAAGGAACCATATCTTGATGTCATCAGATTCTGCTTGTCATATGTTCTGGTAGTCATAGTACTAGTTGATGATATCAGCTGATAGTGATTCATCGTACCATATGGTTTGCATCTAAGTTCTAGACAGTGGACAAGTGCCATCTTTCCACCTGAAGATTTTCTCATTCCTGTACAGTGTATTGGAGAGTTTGTTATTACTTACATATTTCATAACAAGATCATACCAAGATCATATTAGTGCTTATCAATATCATATCAATTCATATCAAGCTCATATAAGTTCATATTAACGATCATATCAGTTCATATGAAGTTGATATTGACATCCTATTAGTTTATATTAACTTCAAATCAACGATCATATCAATTAAATTTGAATTGAATGAATTACTTACATATTTCCTGTGGACTTGATATAATCTAGGATGTTGTCAACTATGTCAATCTCGGTGATCATGAGTGGTGGAATAGGTTGCCCACCTGGGTCTTGAGATGGTTTTTCTTCTGTCAGGATTAGTGATCGTGCTCCGGTGAGCTTTAAATTTATAAAGTCGAAGCATACTCTCTAATAAATCCTAACTAAGCCAAGTATAACCTAGATAGGGTTGTACTAAAGTGTCTAGGTCGTATTCCAAGGGATCCCTAATTGTGTTATTACTTCGCTCCGGAATACTATCTAATCGAGATGGAAGTGGCATTGGTCCCCGCCTTTGTGTTGGGACATATGTTGTTGCCTACTTCCTTTGGTTTGTTGTCTTTGGCAGTGGCATTGGTCCCCTCCTTTGTGTTAGGTTGTTGTTGTTGCCTTCTACCTTTGGTTTGTTGCTTTGACTTTGTGTCATCGCATTCCATGTTGTTAGTTTTCTCATTATCCTTGCTTGTCTTTTCTTTATCACTGTGTGCTCCTTTGTTGGTCTCCTCTTCTTCAGCAGTGTCCTCTACCACGTTCTTCACCTTGTTGCTATCATGGGTTATTATATCAACTTCCTTTTTAATTGGGTTGTTGCACACCATCTAGCACCAGTCTCTTCGATTCCATATCCAAAACCCCCTCCTCTATCTACATCGGCGGGGACCAAAAGGGCTGGGAGAGTACTTTACGCCTACGGCGGGGATATACTCGGCTAACAAAATAGGACAGGATTGGCGGTGGAGGCTTTGGAGACGAGGGACTCAGTGCAGCTCTAGGATGCTTAGAGTTTCGGCGAGTGGCAACACTCGCTCGCAAGACTTCAAGGTTTTAATGGATTTGTTGAGGCTCTTGACTTTTGGAGAGGAATTTCCCGTTTCATGGATCAAATTGGCCTCGGGTTTGTTCTCTGTTATCTCAAGGACCTCGGCAGCGCAGTGAAGCAGCACTATGATGGAGGTAGAGACGACGACTTTGGCTTTGTAGCAGAACTTTTTGGCCATTTCAAAGGTCTCGGAGAGGGTAGCAATGGCAGGGATAAGATATATTCTTTTGCAGGGATGACGACGGGTGGGTGGCGGTTGGATTCTTCAAAAAATTGGGTTATGGAGTTGAAGGAGGTTTTGACGGTAGCAATAATAGTAAGATCTATTATTTTGCAGGGGTGACGATGGGTGGGCGGTGGTCGGATTGCTTTTGGGTTATGGAGTCGAAGGAGGGGAAGAGGGATATGAGTGACTAGATAATTTTGTTTTGGTTTTGTTTTTTTTTCAAAAAGAAAAATAATCTAATTAAAATTAATAATTACCTGTGTGGCACGTCAAAACCTTCATTTTCTTGCCACGTCATTAAAAACTTTCCACCTCATTAAAAAATTTGCCACGTTAGAGCATCTTCATCCTTGCAATAAGTTAGTAATTTCTTATATAAACTCTACATCCACATAAGCAACTTTAGCAATTATCCCATCCATTCATTTCAAACCACCTCCATCTCTCCAATCTCTTAGCAATTTCAATTGATGTACAATATATTAATATAAATTTTTTCATAAAAAATACTTTTTCTTAATAGATAATATAATTTTTAAATATTCAATAAAACCAAACACAAAAAATAAATTAAATAAAAACAAAAAATTTAAGAAAGAAATACAAAAATAAAAATGAAATGAACAAAAATACTATATTACTCGTCATCATTCTTTCTCCCAAATCGATTCCAAATCTCTTCATGTACTTTTAGCGTAAATTCTTTCTATTTTTTTAATGAATAATTTGTACTTTTAATGTAATTTTTTTCTAAGTTTGTCGAATGACTTCAATCTTTAACTTATTAGTTTTTCATACCATGAGAATCAATAAAATTAAAATATAATTTATGATTTTTATTTATTTATCGACAACTTCAAAAATACAAACACAATAATTACTAATGATTAGCATTATATGCACAATTGTGGATGAAAATAGAAGAAAAGAAAACGAAGTAAAAAAGTGATTAGTTTTGTGCATGAGTGAAGTGGGTCTCAAATGCTTATGTGCTATTGTCTTATTTAACCATCTTGTTAAATAAGAAAACATCCTTACACCCTCGTAATTGCTTAAAAGTGGTGTCACTAGGATCCCACTAGATAAGCAATAGATATAAGCAATGAGAAGTAAATCGACTTAGAGTCAACTACCTGTTGACCGGATGGAAAATGAAGGGTTTGGCTAGTAAATTGCTTTTTTATGAATATATATGTGGATGTCAATTGCCCACATACCCAAACTACCACCTTCTTCCCATCCTAATTAAATTCCCAACCCACTATAGATTATCATTATGATTAAGTATTATAGTATTAAGTGGATGTCCATCATACACATCCTTCATCTACTTAATTGAGACTCTGTAACATCTCGTTTAGGATAAAATCGTATTACTGTCATTAGAAAATTTCACGATTTAAAATCGAGCATTTTGGCAGTATTTCGACGAAATTGGATTATCGATCGGATAAGTATACGTATTAATTATATAATATATATATATATGGGCAGTTCTACGGTGCCCAGGGCAAAATCTGGGGTACAGGTAACCGGGGGCAAGGAAAATTACCAAAAGCATCACGAAGCGTTTATGCTTTATTAATTGGACTTCAACCTAACTGTACCCGGTTTAATGATATCGATTAAGAGGTTAAACCCTATGGATACGACCCGCCGCCCTAACCAATTTCCAGTCTCCCTTCTACGATCCCTCATTCGCCTTGGAGGGTCCCCTCTAAGTTCGAAGTTCGATCATAAGATGCCTATCAAATCTGAAATCTCCAACAAAATCATCGTTTCGAAACCCAAATCCTTTTATTATTTGATCCACATTCGATTTAGCTCCCTATCCAATCTCAAATCCCCAACATCATCATGTTTCATACGCCAAATCTATGTATCCACATTCGAAGAGAAGATCCCCATCCAATATGAAATCCTCACATAATCATCGTTTTGAACCCCAAATCCTTTTATCCACAAATCGACGTTTTGTTCATCGCAATTTTATTTCAGTGCGGAATTTACTCGCCTATCTCTTTCTAACACGATTACGGCGACCATGTCTATTATTGTGTTCATCAAACTTTTCGTTTGCAAAAGAACCCTTGAAAGAGGTTTGCTAACCCTAGGGTTCATGTCGCTAGTGCTTTGTCATCTTGTCTTAGCGTTATTGTCATTTTCTCGAAACTTCTATCACTCGGTGAAATTAAGGTTTCCTGATATGCAGTGTTCGTCTCGCCCAGAGGATTGAGGAAGGAGATGAAGAAGACCTAATTTGATTCGAATTAGATGGAGAGGTCTCCTTAATTTGTGTTTATGTATTAACGGTGCGTTTAGGACTAATTCTAGTTGGACTGGGTCTGATCATTGATTTTTGCAGGCTTTTAAATAACATTCAAACGTGGGCTTGTACATGGACCCATGACACCTAGTTTGTTGATAATAGATACTGAGTTCCGGATTGTCATTAGGTTGGGCCTTTGATAATTGTCTATCTCAGTGGCGATTCTTTGTTTTACTTATTTTCATCTGCTTCTGCTTCTAAAATCCTGATCATTCATTGAGTTCACGCAATTTAAACATAATTCTGTGTTCCATCTTTTTTGGGATTTGGTAAATGCTAGCGTGTCTCTTTACACATTTAGCGGTACGAGGTAAACTACAATCCGCCCAATTTAACTCTTCATTAATTGAGATCCCATTCCACTCTCTCACCGATTTCCCCTCTTTATGCAATGCACTCGTACATAACAAACCTCTTGTAGACTAATTAGAGGCTTGTGGTTGGATACTGAGTGAGGATATTTTTTTAATTTATGTTTGGAAACGAAAGTTAGAATTTCACTTTTGAAGTACCTATGTACTTTAGTTGGGAAAGTATTTTCAAAATGTAAAATTTTATCAGCGTATAGGTATACGATTGTTGTATAAGGTGTTGATGTTAAAGGAAATGGTTACTGACTGCTTAGGGTATTAGGTTGTTGATGGTATAGAGTATATGGTATATGGGTAGGTTATAAGGTGTTGATGGTTTAGAGCATATGGTATCGATTGGTTAAAGGGTGAGGGTAGGTGTTGTCTTATTTTTTCTCGATTTTATATTTTCTTTATATCTGCTTATAAATGCTGATCATGCCTTATTACTAAAAAAACGTAGACATAATTATTGTAGCGTGACACATTTATCAGTACTTAGACATAATTCTTTATATCTGCTTATAAATGCTGATCATTTATTGTTTGATTTGAACCTGCGTGTTTTTGCTCTGAATGATTTTGTAGTGGCGTGGTAGAGACAATCCGTCCAATTTAACTCTTCATTAATTCCCCCTTTTCTTTTCTTTTTTGGTAGAATGATTACCCATTTTCCACTCTCTCAGTCCCCGCCGAAGTTGAAACAATCCCCTGTGATATATTTATCGTTCATTTTAACCCTTCATTTAATAAGAAAGCGAAATTATGCAAAATGGTCATCAATGTGATGTAGCTTAATTGGTTAATTGTCCGTTATTTGCTTAGTCAATAAAGTAGAGGTTTGTGGTTCGATACTTAGTGAGTATCAATTTTTAATTTATGTTTTGAAAAGCAAGTTATAATTTTAATTTATCAGCGTATAGGTATACGATATTGTATAAGGTGTTGATGGTTTAGAGTACATGGTATTGGGTTAGTGTATTGATCATCTCCATCCCTAAAATACGATATTGTATAAGGTGTTGATGGTTTAGAGTATATGGTATTGGGTTAGTGTATTGATCATCTTCATCCCTAAAATTGAACAACAATTTCTAAACGAGGTCCCTACCGCCACATCATCAATTTTAGCAATTCATCACTTATCAATTTCTATTCATCTACATCCCTAAATTATGCTAGCAATTGCCAAGGTGGGTTCCATTTTATATTTCAAAGGAAACACTTATTATACATTGAAAGTTGGGGATGGAGATAGAAGAAGGTGTTGTTGGTATACAGTATAAGGTCTTGAAGGTTATGGTATAAGGGAGGAGCAAGGTGTTGATGGTTTAAAGTATATATGTTATTGATTGGTTACGGTAGTAAAGCCAAACGCCAGGTGACTCTAGCTGTGTACTACGTGTATGGGGAAGGATCAAATATTAATATGAGCGAATATTTACTAATAGCACTCAATTCTTTATTCGATCGAAAAAAGTATATTTTTAATTTTAGGTTTAATAACTACCCATGTTTATCCCAAATTAATGTACCTTAGACTAAACCCTAACTATTTTTCTGCGGGAAAAATATGACGCCACAATTTATCCTAAGCTTGTATATATAATTAACCTTCATCGGTAGAGCAATGGTTCCATATCCTTCTTTGCCGCGATTTTGAGTACAGAGTAAAGCTTAGATTAGAGGCACAACATGGAAAATAAGAGAATTACTCGCTCTTCGTCCAAGCTTGTGGTATGTATAATAGCTCTTTTTACCATTGAAATTCATTCTAGTTAATTTATTAATCGCAGGTTCACTGTCATTGTAGGAGACAGCCGAATTTGTGACTCCAACAAAGAAACCAAGGATACCCAAAGGTGTAAGCACTCCACCCACTCCTGCTTCAGTCATCGTTTTTATTTCGGACGATGAATCTGACTCCGAGGTCACACCAAAGAAGCCAAATGGAAAAAGTATTTGTCTACCTTCTGTTGACAAGGTAATAAAGGTGTCATGTTTGCCATTGAAGTGTTCTTTGCCGTTATTCCATCATAACGAATGCATTTCCACTCGTGTTTATTTGTGGCCCCTATTCCAGGTTGTTTTGAAGTTTAAGCTACCTACAGCTATGGAATACGATGATGAGTAAATCCAGCTTGCTCACTATATATTTTTAGCCCATCTGCCACCTGACGAAGTATTGGTCAAAACCTCTAACAACTCTTGTACGAGGAAGTCATTGTGGTCCTTAAGCCCTCGCTCATTCGTAGATGCTGAAGTAATCAACGGAACTCCAAAATTTCGTTTTGTTTGTCCACTATCAATGCTTTCTACGTAGAATTATTTTATAACAACTCGATAGTATCATTAAGTGTTTTTTGTCCATGTTATATTAGGTTATAACAGCGATGGCCTGCCACTTGACTCTAGAAGAGTTGTGGACAAATTCCAAGGACGAAAAAGGAGTGTGCTATCTGCCTGCTGAACTACAGGTTGTGGTCCGATTATACTTAATGACAATTTCCTCTCACCAAAAAAATTACAACACATGTGTTTTTAACGTGAATCATATTGTGTTGACAAAATTTCAATTGTGCAACTACCACATGGGCAGGAACTAGTGATTTCATGTGGAATAACACCCAAGAGGGCATTAGACCTATACGAATCAAAATTCCTTAGTCGAACCAATATGGTGAACAAGGTAAACTGTTCGTCTTAATAAGTATTACATGGTTTGCAGTTTATTTTTTTAATACGTGTTGACAATTTCCGCATATGTAGGTGTGTGTTCCGATGAGAGATAATGCCCATTGGTACTTGGCTGTCATTAAGTTGGACAAGGAAGAAGTCCATATCTTGGATCCACAACCAAATGAAGACCGCAATTCCTTTCGACTACAATCTGTTCAAACAATGGTAAATTTGTGCCAGTGTGCCGTTATAACGCAAAAAAATGTAAATAACTCTTTCTAAGTACAAACGTTTCTTAATTTGTACAGATGAGATTTATGCAAGCCTTGTGGAAGATTCTCTATCGTGAACAAGGATTGTCGCCACCAAGGATTGCGGAGTTTGCGTACCCAACTCCTTCAAAGGATCAAGAACAACTTAATCGGTAAGTATGCCCATTTTTTTGTGATATTAAACGACGACTTATCAACTTGGTTCTTATCACGCAATGCTTTTATTTTATGTAGGTCTGACAGTGGAGTCTGGGTATGCATGTGGATGTTTGGCGCAAGCTGGGACTCCTCTTATATTTGGGTAAAGACAATTCTAATTCGCATATTAGAAAACCACAATTGATTATTATTTTTGAATCATGCGGTAAGCACCATGTTTGTTGATGTTGATAGCCATGCACTCAAGTGAGGAGGATGCAGATCGCTTTGTACCTTGTTCGAGAGCCCATGAACTACATAAGGCATATGGTGCTCACGGAAGCAAGAAGAGTTGCACCTCAAGTTGAAGCTGCAGTGGAAGAGTACAAGAAAA